TTCCCGAGGTACGTGAATTCGTCCACCTTCTCGACCTGCTCCCCTTCGATCGGTACACCATCGCCGCGTTTGGTCGAGATACGCATTGGCTTTTTCTTTGTAGCATTGATGTTCAGGCCTACCTTTGCACCTTGTTCCTTTAAAACCTGTGCCTTATCTCTCCTGCCCTGCACTCTGTGCAACAGTAGGACCAGATATCTGCGAAATCAAGATCTTCTAGAGATGTCGTGAAGGAAAACTGGATACCACTGTCCTGGTCAGCCAATCAGGGGTAACCAGAGACAGCAAGGGAGATAGCAGGCAGCCTTTTCAGACGTCAGTCCTCGTGTTCAATGCTTCGGTCTTCAGCTCAGAAAAACCCTCATTCAGAGCTCTAATGATGATAACTATCTTTACGAGCATCCCGTAGTGACGCAGCAACCTCCACAGCACTCTCTGGTGATGCTATCGAAAGCCTTCATGAAATCTATAAAGTTGATGTACAAAGAGGACTATCACTCAATGCTTTGTTCCACAATAGTCCCCAGTGCCACTATTTGGTCCGCACAGCTTCGATCAGCTTGAAACTCCGCTTGTCCCTCTCGCAGTTTTCCATCCAGTGCTGTCTTGATACGCTCTAAGATCGCTCTGCAGAACACCTTACTTGCCATGTTCAAAAGCATGATGTGACACCAGTTTTTACAGTGGGGATCGCCTTTCTTTGGCAGTTTGATTATATATGTCAGCATTGTTAAGTCCAAGACACAGAGTTTTGTTTCCAGTAGAATTTGCAGGATTAATCAAAAATTGTCTGCACTTCTAAAAGTGTGATCTATTTAGCTTCTTGAAATTTGTGTAGAAAGCAATATGTTGGTTCGACTTCTACGGAATTTAAAGTCCGCTTTCGTCACAACTAGTCATTCATAATTAACAAAAAAACTTACGAGATGGCAATCCATTTCAATTGTTTAAAACATGAGGTCCATCAGGTAAGCTTCATTCTCAGTGAAAATATTTTAAATCACAAAAGAACCCATTTGGAATAACTATTGCTTACCAGGGAAGAGTACTGTATCTTACAGTTGCTTACGCTGTTGTCCCATGGTTCGAATAAAATATGAGAATAAATCAAAAAACGCATTTGCTATAACAAAGAATGAACTATCGTAACTTCATTACCATTATCTACTTTAAATGCATTCGATATCTCTTTTGTGCCGGATGAGCACGTACATAGCTTGTTCTAATTACTGTTTGCTTTATGTTATTATAAGAAGTCTTGTGTATTTTGCTCTTTCTACCATCTTAAGTTTTCCATTCATCTGTTACATAACCTGTATTATTTATTACATAATCAATATTTTCATATCCTAGCACTAATTTTTCCATAAATACGACTGTGTTTTTAATGTTTAAGGAAGCCTCATACACATATAGGAAAGAAAAAAAGAAACCAATGAATTGATTTTCTCATGGTTATCATGGCTAGCGGTATATATTGCTCGTAGACGCGTGAGCACGACGACGACGGAGTCGCGCAAGATGGCGGCCATACTTCAGCTGACGGGTTGACAGAGAAATGCTACCTTGGTTTATAGCGTAAATCTTTGATATTGGAACATCCATGTTATGGCCAATTGACACCTTCAAAACAAGGTATACGCTGACCAGTATCACGTGACCATATCACAGGCTCAAGTTTAGAGTTCATCGAGGTCACTTGTTTTTTGAAGTTGAGCGCCGACCAAGTGCTTGTTTTCCATTGGATCGGTGGCTCGTGTCAGGTTATCTTGTTGTACACAGAACCGGGTTGTTCGGAAGCTAGTTAACGCTAAACCAGGATTAAAAGTCAACCGAAGTATAAATTTTACTTCTATAAAGATATTTTCCCCACTTTTTTGTGTATTTTGAGATTCAAACTCAAAAAGGAAGACCAAACAATGCACAGAAAATCTCAGCGCAAAGTTACAAAACTCAAATTAAAATTCTCGCTTATCCTGGAGCTCCGCTTTTAGGCTTGGCTAAACATTATATGGCTGTGTCTCACAGGGACAGGGAACTACAGAATTTACGAATTTAATTGGCTGAAATCGATATTGACCGCGGTCTAGTTTTTCCTATCTAGACCGGCGTCTGGACCGGTTACATTTTGCGGTGAAAAAGTTGCAAACTAAAATACAAAAATATTGACTATTTTCTTTTAAAGATATTACTAGAAGTGCCAAAAGCCCGATGCGAAAAAAAAGTCAACAGGACAAGCAAACTTTGGCAGATTTAATTTCAGCTCATCGCCGTTCTCACGCAAAATGTCAGCTAGTGCAAACCAGTTGCATAAAACAAATTAAATTTTTCTTGTTTGCCATGTAATAAACATCTTATTATGACCGAGCTTAGTCGGTCTGTATGGGAGAATATTGACCTCAGTCTTATATACAAAGGCTTGATAGCTCAGTTGGTAGAGGACTGCATCGATATCGCAGAGGTCATGGGTTCGAATCCCGTTCAGACCTAAAATTTTTTTCAGACTTTATTTTCACAACTACTTAAGTTGTGCGTCTAATTTTAATGATCAATCATGTCTTTATATCTTTCTCTGCAGTTCAAATATATGATCTTTCATGTAATCACTTGTCTTCTTCACCATAGTACGGGTATGTTACGAACTCGCAATGTGACCATCTCCCAGTTGGCTTGATAGCTCAGTCGGTAGAGCACTGCATAGTCTAGGCCTGAATTTTTTTCAGGCTTTATTTTCACAACTGCGATGATCAATCATATCTTCAGACCTCACTGCGTTCGGTACATCTGTACTTACGACCTCTAGCCTAAACAATAGCATGAATATACACTGTATGATTACTTATTATATGGCTGTGTCTCACAAGGACTGGAAACTACCGAATTCGCGAATTTGATTGGCTGAGATCGATATTGAAAGCGGTTTAGATTTTCTCATCTAGACCGGCATCTAGGCTGTTAATGTTTCGTGGTGAAAAAGTTGCAAACTAAATACAAAAATATTGATTATTTTCTTCTAAATGATATTTACTGTATGGAAGTGCCAAAAGGCCTGTAGAAAAAATTGTGAAGAGGACGAGCAAATTTGGCAAAATTAAATTCAGCTCATCGCCGCTCGCAAGCAAAATGTCAGCTACTAAAAACCAGTTACAAACGAATTACAGTAGAACCTCGGTAACTTGAACTCTGTAGGGAAACGAAAAAAAGTTCGAGTTAGCGGGGATTTGAGTTATCGGGGTCGATTCAATATCCAACTTGCCATGTTAATAATTGATAGTTCACTGATTTTTCAGTACTTCAGTATAGAGTACAGTGCAAATAAAACTAATCTCGTCAGAAATGTATGTGTACTTTTCATAACGTGCTGCACTAGAGCACTGTTTCATCCGGTATGACTCATAAGATGACTGGACGGTCGATTGCAATTGCACTAATTAAAATCAAATTGCTGTTGTGTTAGTTTTGAGTGTTTCTACATGTACCGATTAAACGACCAGAAAAGTTAATGGGATGACATCCGTGGTGAGTTACATGAACCAGAGTTGGAGCTATTGGGGTAAATTTTTATCAAAGGAAACGAAATTTAGTTCGAGTTAGCGGGGAATTCGAGTTATCCGAGTTCGAGTTAACCGAGTTAAAATGACTGAAAAATGGGGTCAAATCCAAGGGAAATGGGACTTGGTTCGAGTTAGCGGGAGAGTTCGAGTTATCCGAGTTCGAGTTACCGGGGTTCTACTGTAATCTGTTTTTGTTTGCCATACAATAAACACCTTACAATGAACATCTTATTAACCGAGCTTAGTCGCGTGTACAGACCTCACTGAGTTCGGCCTGTACTCACGACCTCGGTCATCCCATACAGACCTCGTCCTCGTTAATAAGAGCTAATTAATGACCCACGAAACGTGGGTACAAACTTTAATCGACATGAAGTTGTCATACAGGTATATGGCTGCATTCAAAAGTGCTCTTTTACGAAACGATAGGTCCTGTCCAGCTAAAACGTTAAAAACGTCAGTTTCTACAACATGATGACGTCACATAACAACCGGCAATTATTTCAGGCGGTCAAGCTTCTTACGTTCTACCAAGCAGTGCATTCGTGTATGGACTTTTGCTTTTGAAATAATGGATTGGCGAAAGCAGCTTTGTATTTTCAGCTTGTGGCTTGTAACAAATGGTAAGTTTTCACAACTGTGTTAGTTTGTATAGTACTAGAGGATGACTGGCATCAGATCATCATGATCATTATCATCAGGTGTTCGTGCGCGCTGCGAGCCGTGTCTTCGATCGCCCCAAGATCAGTTTGAACTTAAGTAGTTTTTAATATGCCTAATATCACTAACATCATTGACAAGGGAAAATGACAGCCTGAAAGAAGAAATCGCTACCCTTAGACGTGGATTTCAAAATCTGCAGCACTCTCTTACGGGAAACGATGCATAGGAATCTAGCAATGGCGGCGATTAGCAAGCTGCTCCATCACGAAAGACGAAGCATTGAACACTCTTCATTTCTATGGAAAAGCTTACGACGATCTCCGCTCGGAAGCTGTTAAGAGTCTTCAACAATTGTGGTCACATTTAAATGCCTTCTCGAGTAGATGATATTGGAAATGCAATCGATGAAATTCAGCGTTACAGCTACATGCATTTTATTTTTGTTTGCAAATTAAAATTACAATTATAACATGCCCGCGGATAGCTGAGCTAATCTAGGCGGGTCATGTTTACACGAATTATACCAGTACAATGTCCAGATAGTTGGTCTCCCCGAAATTGACCCGCGAGAATCGGCATCCGCCATTACGTCTTTATGCATAAGCCTTCTAAAAGCTTCAGGAATGGATATAAATAACCAAGATGTCGACATAGCGCACCGTGTCCCGAGTAGACAAGCTACATGTACTGTTGGTCCGAGACCGGTTATCTGCAAATTCACTCGAAAAATCGTCAAAGAAGAAGTTATCAATCAAAGGAAGGAAGCTCGCAAGGTTTCTGCAACATCGATTGGTTTACCAGCCGAATGTTCTCTAGGAAATGTCAAGGTTTTCGATCATCTCACTCCACAGACCCAGAACCTACTCGCCGATGCTAAGAAATTTCAAGCTCGAAATGGATTCAGGTTCTGTTGGTCAAAAACTTTGTTGTCTATTTGCGAAAGTCCGAGGACTCTCGTCCCATCCGGCTCAAAAGCCAGAAAGACCTTGAACGATTTGCAGGCCAAGAGGACTTAAATATGAGCTAAGTAGTGTACTTGTGAAATTATTCTCGTAATATCATACTTACTCTTAGAAACTAAAACTGATGAGTAAGGAGACGTCTCTCCATTCTGTCCTTCCTTTTAATCTTTTGGACGCAAATTCTTTCAACATAGCACTTTATGAAATGATCTTAACCCTGATTCAAACTTTCTTACTCGCCTACCGACTAGCAGATATATGGTCGAGGAAGACATTAATGATCAGATTAGTTTCTTTAATGAAAAATCGATGTTTTCTATTTGCATTTAAATGCCCGCAGCTTGTTGAAAAATCTTGATCAACTAAATCTTCTACTCAAAAATCTCAAAAGGTCATTCTCTGTTCTTGGCGTGTCAGAAACGTGGCTAATCGATTCCACTTCAGAGCTTGTAAATATCGCAGGATACAACT